CTTGGGCTGTAGAGTGGGGACCAGGAGAAGCCGATTCACTTCCAACCATGGCAGCATCTATTGTGCCTCTCACCTCCCGGGAAACTTTTAAAACAGGCTATGACTAGGAGGGTGTCTTGAAGAAGGTCAGAAATAGCTGCTGGCATAGGACAAAGGTGGCTGGCCTGGCATATGACAGCCTATGACATCACCCCTGTAGTCTATGAGGCTGTCTCATCTGTCTGGGGCTCTGTAGGGCCAGGGCCACCCCTGACGACTCCGGTCCTGGTAGGCCTGGAAAGTTGATAAGCCCTGCTAGGCTCTGCTCTGCAGTTTTGGAGGTCCAGGAATTCTTAGTCATCCCAGCTGGAAGCCAGCCTACATTTTCCAGGGAGGGACTGTTTCAAGGCTAGGGCAGCAGGAGTGACTTGGTGACACTAGAACTCCACTGTTTCACCTTGCCTGTGTATACAGGGGTAGCAGAGTCATACAAGAGGAAGCCCTGACTCCAGGCCAAGTCATACACCTCTGCTGGGGAGGCCAGTACCCCATCCCCTTGTTTCTGGTGCCACAAGGAAGTAACCAACCCGCTTCTCACATGTGTTTCTGGATAACTACCTGTGTGCACTCAGGATTGGCTGAGTGTTGTTGGAGACTAGAGAACCAAGAAACGTTCTCTAAAAGGGCACTTTCCAGACATGCTCTCACAGCCCCAGGGTCCTGTTGAATTGACCCAGACAGAACTGAATACCCTGCCCCCTTCTCTTTCTTGGATCTTTCCTGGGTCAGGGTAGCTCAGAATTCTCTGGTGGTGGCAGGAAGAGCTGACATGGTGAAAAGGGAGCCAATGTCCCCAGGGAGCTAAGAACCAGTCTCCTAACTACAGGCTTGGATGACAAAGTCCCCCTCCCCTGCTACTCTTAGGTCCCTCCAGGGAGCCAGGGCTTGCTTTCCTCTATTTAGCTTGGCTATAGATACACCTTATGCTGGGGTAGTCTGCCTCTGCCCTGGGCTGTGTTGCTAGCAAGTCCAGCCTTTTGCTCTTGTCCACTGGCGCAAAGCATGAATACTAATGGATCAAGATTGCAAGCCTATCAGCCCACAGCCCCTCGGCTTCAGTTTCCCTCAATCTATAGTCCAGTTAGGGAAGCATGGTGAACACAGAGGAGAAGGCATGGCCCATCTGGCTTATATGGGACCCCTGGAAGAGCAAGAAGGTGTTTACATGTTTACGGTGAGGTACTTGAGTAAATTAGTGAAGGATGGTTGGGTCAGGCAAACCATCTTGCCAGGGCATTCTCTTTCCACAACAGTGATCAGTGGCCAGGAAGGCATTATGCCAAGATGTGAGGAGTGGCAAGGGGCAGCCCAGGCTCCTGAAGGACAGCCCATTGAAATAGCGGGGTGCTAGGGGTAGAGCCTACACCAGGCTCCTTGAGCCACTGGAATAGCGGCGCCGGAGCAGCAGAGAG